ATGTTAAACGTTTAATATGGCTATTTTAGATAATAAGAATTATTTCAATATTCAATTTCTAATTTGACTAAACAATATGAACTTTTCGAATTTTAATAATAATATATTTTAATAATAATATTTTAATAATAATCATTTTAATAATAATATATGTATATTGAAGTACATATTATGTTTTTATTAGAGATATGAGATTATAAAATTTTATATAAGACTTTATAAAATGGGTGGATTTATTAAAAAGATCTAAGATTGCAAGCTGGCTAAATAATGCCATACTTTCACGGATCAGGCTGTTCTTTTTAAGTAATTACGTGTTCGCATTGTAACAATGTAGGTGGTTCACCTCGATCGTTACCTCGTGACACGCGTGATCGAGAGTTACGAGTCACGATTCCGTCGGTGGGTAAATCCAGGCCGCATTCGTAAATTTTACGTGCGACTCGGACGGATTTAACGATTTTCAATGAAATATTATGAGTTCGCATCCGTTCGACAAATCGACGATTTTGATAAATCAGTCAATAATGCTCGTGAAATGCTCTGTTTCCTTCAGTCCATTGCATAACAGGAAATTCTCCAATAAAGCACATTTCCTTCTTGAGTTATTATGAAGAATACTCAAAACTATTTTCTTCAAATCTTTTATTTAACAATGAGTAGAAAGAAAAACTTTGACAAATAAATCTTACTACAAAAGCGACCTTAAAATAGGTCGCAAAGCTTTAGAAGTGCACTCTTTGACAGATTTTTCCTTAGGGAAAGTTTAATTGGACTCTACACTTTTTCAGAACTTTTTAATTTTCAACATTAAATATATCCTCGAAGTCCACTTGTGATACTAAATTAAAGATAAAACTTTGTTATTTATCTTTAATTTTATATTTCTTTTTAAATAAAACCTTTTTTATTTCTATTTACTTTTAACTCGTAAGTTATTGACATCTGATCATTTTCATTAAATTGAAAATCTATACATATACTTATATAAACGATACTTATAGAAACGATTATACTTAAATAGAAACGATAATTAAAAAGTTGAAATACGCGCTATTTAATAATTTAATTTAATATTTATATTAAAAGGAACTTTTTTACGATAATATAATTCCAAAAATAATAATTCTCATGCAAATAAAATATATTATCGAATTACTTTCTGGACACGTCTTGGCTCACATATACAAGATACATTCAAATACGTAGAATATTATGTATTTTGTTGTTTCATATTAATATATCACTTTCTCTCCTTAAGTTTTGGTATTAACAGTGTTTGTAAATCAATGCTCCATTTGTTTCTTGCGCTGTGGAGTGACTTGATCTTCCTTCAAGTACTCGCAACCAAGTATCATCCCTTCCGCTTCATAGTGCCAGCAATCAGAACGTTTCTAAGACGTTTCTTCCGTCTTTTAATTAACGCGCCAGCCGTTTTCGGTGCTGCTTTAATTAACTGAGTGAACTTCTCTGGAGGGCGACCGAGTTTCAAGAATTAATAAGCGCGAATGTAATGTTTACAGGTAGCATAATAATTAATTTCTACGGTAACTAAATTTCGTGGCGCTGTCGAATGCGTCGTGAAACGTCATTCAAACATGGGATATTAATTTGTTGACTATATTTGTCGTTAATAGCATTCGATATACTAATTGAAGAGTTTATTTTGAAACATAGATATTGCATTAATGAGATGATGACAAATATTCAACAATTTTAATAACAAATAATTTTTATTTTCTAAAAATATTAAGATAGTCTGAGAATAAAGGCTCGAATTAAAAATCTGACATAAATTAGATATATCGAGTGTCAAAAAGAGAAAAGGGTCGAAAATATAAATTCTTTCATTATGTTAAATAATATTTTATGGATATTATAATATCTCATATTGATTGTAAACGATATGCTACAGCGTTGTCCTACTTTGGGGATGTAGGGCAATAAATTATTTAATATTATTTAATAAATAATGTTATGAAAACACAGCTCTCGTATTGTCTTCGATTATTAATGAATAGCGGTGAATTATCATCGAGCTAAAGCTCTTCATTAAATGTTCAATAGCCTTTTTATGCATATAACGATTTTGCTTGCATATTATGTGTTGATTATAATTCACTGATTAAACGGTAATAAATATATCTGTGAAGAGTGTGATGTTAATCGTCTGGAAAAAACCAAGTGTTGAAATTTGTATATACAAATTCACGTATACAAACAATATTTATCGGTATATAACGATCGTTCTCATTAATAATTAGACATTCCGCTATGTTAATTTCTCAACCTCAGTCAAGTTTGAAATTTCACAACGGAATGAAAAAGCTGGCAATTATGTTTTAGTATTTTATGCTTAATTTATCAAGAAATCAGCACGCTTTGCGCTACTTGAAGCATTTTGTAACTTTATGATTTTCACGGAGAGACGCAGAAAATTACAAAGATGCAAACGAAAAGATGCCCAGCGAAATTTTCTAAAGACCTCGCGCAAAATTGGCTGGTATCTGGGTTAAGTCGTCCGCGTCGGATTCAGGTATATTTTCTTATTCATGTGCGTGCTCGTCGAATAATCCGGCATAATCTGTCACGAAATCGCTAAGCCTCGAGTAGCTCGGGCTTACATGACGTCTCAAAAACGTCTCGACGAGAGATGGCCGCGATATTAAATCCCGGCACAGGTGTATTTTATTCCACCGCGATATACCGCGAAAGTATTTTTTGTGTACTTGGTTCCGATACTTCCGATTCCGGAATGCTTATATGATATATATTTCCGTTATTGCATCGTATGTTTTCATTTTTAATATCATGAGTCTTGATGTTGATCTACATTAATAACATTGATTGGATCGTTATCATTCTCACATATTTTCCTGCCGTTTTTATGTCACGTTGCTCTACCCGTTAAACTCATTGTTATTTATGAATGAAGAGTCGTCATTCGTTTTCTAGCGATAAATTTACCTGCGTCCGTGTAATTTCGCGACGTTCTCATTTTGTGCGCCAACTCTGCGGCTCGCTGCGGAAGTTTTACGGGTATTCAAGACGAACGCGTGTCTCCTCATATTTATGACAAGCACCTTAATGCTCGGGTACGATGTGTCGACACGAACCTCCTACCACGGGGACTTTCAGCGACTTACTCTCGTTATATCGCCCGAAAGATAATTCTCATCTTAAAGTGACGCATTATATCTCGCGACGTGTTTAACGATGCGCCTTATACTCGTTTCATTCCGGAGACGGCTCGTTGCGCGCTCGTCCTACAAAAGATTGCTTAGAAAGGGGCTAAGTGCTAGCAGTGCTTTCGATGGTAGTAAAAATTTTTGACAGAGTATTCTTCATACAACCTAAAACCATTCTCCTTTCTATTAATTTAACAACGAGAAGATTAATAAAAGATAAATGACGTTCTGAATCTCGTTATATATTTTTTATCATATTTATTACGTTTCTATTCATGATACTTACAACTTAAACTTAAACACAATTGTTTTTTAAATCGCATTTTTCAAAAATATCTCAACTTTAATATATTATTTAATATATTTTTTATATTATCTTCGTCGGTTGCTTTAAAGTCAAATCTTTTTAAACTACATAGAGACAATTTAAAAATTTAGCTAGACCTGAAAATAATTGTGTGTGATGATCAAAATAATTATATATTTATTTTATTACAATGTTCGAACAAAATTATTTTCACATCATTGCAACTAGTTAAATTTTTACGTACTTCAGCAAAACTGTTCTTTCTGTGTAATATATCGCTATATCATTCACTGGTATTACAAAAGTAACTGAAAGTAATAATAAAAGTTTCATTCAAATCTCATAACACGCATATCTTTTCGATGGAGAGTGAGCGTAATTATATTCGCAAGGGTTACTGCGTTAATCCTTTCTACGAAACCTGCTAAACGAAAGTTATGCTATGAGGTGCCTCCAAGGATTTATCCGCAAGGGATGTGCTCAACAAGAAACGTTCTTAAACTACTATTAAAAGTCGTACTTACTTTTATACCTCCCGTGAATGAAACTTTACTGTCTCGTCCGCAATTCATTTGTTCGTAGCAACTTGACAGTCAACTTATTTCGAATTTAGCATTCGGTTCTACGTCAAGTAAGAAGTTAAAAGTTAAAAGATGAGAATATATATTGTTAAACAGCTGCCTTCTTTTCTCATTTGTTTTCATTGGAATTATGGGAGTTTAATAGAGCGTCAACGAGATAAGATCTCGCATTATTCAAAATAAACTTGAAAATCAATTCCCTCGTGGGAATATGCAGCAGAATTGATAGGAAATTACGAGTATCTCTCATAAGTCTAAACGAAAATGAATTTCCGAGATCGATTGTCAATGTCGCTGTCTGTCACACGTCCCGGCTTCCTTCCTCGTGTCGAAAAACGAACGAGTGTACGAGAAATTCATTCGCAACGCGGCAAGAGACAAATTGGTAGAAAAGAACGAAATATTGAAAACGTCGTTCACGCCAAAATATGTTCTTCGACTTTGCAATTTTCTTTCATATCGTGAAACTAATATTGCTATGTCAGAAAGAAAAAAACCAAATTTCTATTTACATTTTGCAATCAATGTATGTAATCACTTTTCTTTCACTTAGGCTTTGTATAAATATTACAGCAACAATTATTTTATAAATACTGAGGCAATGTTTTAAACACAAATTATAATATTAGCAGTCGTCGTAGACCAATCGAAGATCCAGATTAATTTCGAGCGTCGAAAATATATTATGTATATTTTCTATTTCGGACTTATATGTACACGCACTGGGATTAATTGCGGAAGCGATTATTAGCATTTTTTCTAAAATACAACTGGCACCAACGATAGCCATGCACCATGCAATGAACGTCGCGCAAACATGCGACGCCGATCATTCTAAAATCGATTCTCGATGTTGCTGACCCTCGTGCGTCCACACGTGGTCGAACTTGGGCCAACGCACGCTATTGGACTGCCATTTTAAAGAAGGCCGGATCAACAGTAAACAGGCGACTCCACGGCGCTTTGGTCACCTTCACCAGCCCAGAGTCCCACCTGGTAAGCCTCAGTATCCAAAGCTTGAAAAAAAAATCAGCAAGTGAAAGAGATGAAGCTGAGAGCTCAGCTCGCGAGCTCTCGTTTGGCCCGGACACGCACCTGTATATACCTAATTGGCTAACTTTCACGCGAGAACTTAGCTTCTTAGAGAGAAGTGGTCACCAGAGCACCTTCTTCTTCTTCTTCTTCTTTATCTTCCTCTTCTTCTTCATTTTTTATTATTTTTCTCTTCTTATTTCTACATTCGATTTTGAAAATAGATGCTGAATAGCGAAAGATAAAAATATTAAAGTATTTCTTCAAAAATAAATATATATGCACATATAGACATATGATATTATAATATAGTAAAATTATGAGAATTTCTTATTATTGTGGCATGTTGTTGATTCGTAGATAAAACGAAAGTATCAAACGTTACTTTCTGAATTAACTGTCTCTTACGATAGTAAAAAAATGACTTTGTTTTCTCTACAAAGAAAATTTATAGAATATTTAGAAATACTATGAAATACGCGGTTTAGAAATACTATAAAAATACTTTACGAGTGGTTATAAACGTTTACACTATACAAATCGAAAAACTACCAATTTTACTGTGTCTAATAGAATTTTCGACCACTTGTTTGTGCTAGATTTTACGAATTGTTTATTTTAATCATGTTGAGTATCATTTTTATATAAATACAGAGAAAAAATTAATAAGCAAATTAGACACCTTAATGAAATTAAATAAAACAGATATATTCGCGCGGATATTATACAATATTTCGTGACAATTTTTGGATAAACGAATACTATTTTCAAATAAGAGAAAAATTTTACTTTTGATTGAACATTATTTTTTAGTGTACGATTTTACAATATATTATTGCAATTGTTGCGTTTATGGTTATTGATCGTTGTTCGAAATATATGGTATATGAATAAATCGGGAAATAGTAATAGTAATAACACAGTTTTTAATATACGGAGTTGTGAGTTCCGTATACATATAAGAAAGAAAAAATTCCATATGAGAAAGTCACGTACAATATTTGAACGATCAAATGTTTCAATATTCGAATGCATCTATCCTATTTACGACTCTCATCCTACATCCAACTTTATTATTTCTATCTGCTATTCTCTTTTCTTTTCTCTTTATTCCTATTGAAAAGACACGCAACTTGTGAAAAGGATGATTGATACGATATGAAATCTTTTGTTAAGTTTATAAAAATCTTTATGACAGAGAAATAGATCACTATCGTATATTACATCTAATAATAAGATATTAAATTACTAGTTACTACACACGTATGTGAATATATAATTTTAGATTATTAGCGTTGATTCTTAAATTAAAATTAATATTCTATAAAATATTTGACTTGGCCCTATCAATAGTCGTATCAAGATAATCCTTTCCATGAGTGCTTTCTTGCGAATGGTTAGGAGATCAGCCACAATATGTACATAGCTCACGCGTGGATAATATACGCACATGACACTTAAGCTAGCTCTATAGGTACACCACTGGTCATTGCACATGCACGCAATAATCTACGCTCCTCTTACCATCATCATCTCTATCATTAACGCGATCTAATATCTTTGCACGTGTATGATACAATCTGATTCGGAGCTAGACCGAAATTTCTTGTTTTTTCTTTTAAAAAAAAAATTTTACTTTCTTTTTTAAAGAAAGAAATCAGAATAACCAATCTTTTTATAATAAAAATATAAAACTTTTGCGCAAATTTACAAATTGATTTTTTACCACAACTCGAATCCACTTCTATTTACTTTGAAATGACTGTGAGTACGATTAATAAAATCAAACTGTTTCTTGGCGCGAATATGGTTAACTTTTAACAGATTAAAGTGATTACTGAAACTCTGATTTTAAATCGATTGGTAATGAATTGCGGATCATTTCATCGAATCATCCTCTCTGCCTCACGGAATGAGTGATCAATGAGCGTCTGACAATTGCCATTAGCTCGAGCACCAAGCTGCATGAGGAAAGGAGAACGAACGAAATGCACCCGCCTGCATGTTGACGCCAAAAATTACGTCTAATTGTATTTTCAGGACGAAAGAGCAGATCGACGTTGATTGGTTCCCACTGTTACCGGTCATGCTGAAACATATTTGTGAGAGTATATTAACACATTTGTATGAGAAATGTACACTAAGAAGCAGATTGAATTAAATAGAATCTTTCAAAAAAAAGTATAAAATATAATAAATATAATATCGCATAAAGCTTAAAATTTGAATGTATATTATTTTTCACACTGAAATATTATTAAGCGCTCAGATCAGATTGAATAAAACATTTTCTCATTTAGTTGTATTATTCACATATTAGTCTAATATCATTTATTATTGCTTAAAATTTTAATTAATAAAGTTTGTTTTTATAAATCCTTTTTCTTTTAAAATTTCTTTCATGAACTTGAAAAAGTTTAATTTATGATATACTCTTATATGTGAAAAATGTAATTTGTGAAGTACTTATTTTTAAATATTTATATATAGGGTAATTTTTACAAATATATTTGTTTAGAATAGAAAGCTAATATAAAATTAAAGCATAATATATTATTATTACAGATTTTGTAGCATGATATGATGATTCATAATTAAATTATATAATCTGGTATTTACATATAATTATTAAATTAATTATAGTTTCAATATACAATAAAACATACGCAATCTCTCAGAATAGAAATTTAAATAAGTACTTATTAAAAAATCATGTACACTAGATTTATTCGTTATGTTATATAATACAATGCACAATTTTCATTGTAACAGAATAAAATATTAAGGTTAATGTATGATGATAATGAATAATGTGATTATAATGAAAATTGTACATTTGGATATTAAATATAAACGTTCAAATAATTTGTTGTCTATTGTTATATTTATAATTATGATTTTATATTTATATAATCACGAAATAACAAATGCTCTGTAATAAAAATTATATGCGTTGACAAAGTATATGAACGAAAGGCTTATACATTTATTTATTATTATTATTAAACATAAACGGATATTAAAATATTGCTTAAATTAAAAGCTTTATGAAACTTACTCCGTCTTAATAATATTAGAAACTTCAAATCTGCTTCTAATTGTATGTCACAAATATGTCATACTGTGTCTGCAATATTAATAGCCACTGTATCAGCATTACTCGGCAACAATGGGAAAAGCGCGACATATTATTGACACAATGTCTATCAAAGAGAGAGAAAGAGAGAGAAGAAATTAGGAAGAATGAGAGCGAGAGAGAGAGAGAGAGAGAGATGTTTCAAATCGATCAAAATATACCATAATCGATAATCAATTCCAGAATCAGTCTCAGCCCGTCTCACAGTCGTTTCACACGATACAGACACGTAACATACACGATACACACATATATTACAATCGTGTTCCACTTTGTTTCTCCCATCCTCCGCGAGTAAGATCGTCCTAAATTCTCGTCTATTAAGCCTCGACATATATGTATACCGCGCACACTAACCACGACACCAATATCGTAACTCTTGCGCAGCTGCAACACGGTGGGGCTCTGGGTAAGAAAACACTTGGAATAACTTTGAATATATATTTTTCGATTACTTCGTGCCAAAAGTTCCTTTACTCCATCTCATTCCGACAATAACCCCCAGGGCATTCGTCTCCTTTATCTTTTCTTTCTTCGAAATTCTTTAATTTACGAGATTCTTCTCTTTAACTTACGAGAGATTACATACACATTTCTTTTATAGTCTTCGGGCTTTGAATGAATTTTCTTTTTAAAATTAAACACTTGAATAGAATATTTTTATTTATTTTATTTAAAAATCAATACAGTTGATAAATTTCCCTCCTAATATTTGATTCTCCCAGTCTTTTCAATATTTAATAAATATCGATGCTTGTCTTAAATTTATTTTAAGTGATTTATAATTGAGAATTAAATTCAAAATTTTTTCCATAATCTCTTACTTATATATTGTATTATAACTATAATAATCATACATAAAATAATAATATTAATTGTAAAGTCTAATTATATAATTATATGTATATAACTGCATGTGCTGACTTAGATTATCTTTCAACACACATTTTATATTTATGTCCGTATCTATCTTTTTTTTACATCATATGACATATCAAAGTTATATCTAGTTATATCTAATTTTGGCCTAAATTCTGCCACGATTTATAGATCGCTTAAAATGAATTGAAAGTATCGTATATCCAATTTCTATTTTTCTCTTAATCATTACTCGAATGCGGAAAAGTATTAAAAGAAACCCCTGCTTCTAAATTTTAGAGGAAGTTCCATTTCTTTCCTACCACCGATTCTTCCCGAGTTGTTTACGATGTATTTCAGGATTCTTAATCGCTCACGTGGACTTGCTCTTCATCGTCGATGGAGTTTGCAGGTGAGAGATCATTTAATCGATCTTTTGAGGCGGGATACGAGCCCTGAACGTAAACACTTGACTTTTAACAAAGCCACCGTGTTACGGAGCACGACACAGTTACTGGGGTTGTAAGCCGGGCTATAACGTTTCGCGCATCAGACTCAGAAGTAGCTTGCAGGAAGCAGCTTGCGGTTTCTGAATTCTGGATAGCTTTGCTCGAAGCTCGACAGGCAAACACAGAACGTGAATTAATATGTACAAAGGCTGTCACGTGTGACGTTTAAAATAGAGGATAATTGAACCGCCAATCGCGTATATCCCGAGTATCATTATAAATTAATACATTATATCAAAGTGTAACATTTATTGCTTGCATTCCAAGCATGTCATTTTGATCAGTTACCTTTAATTACTATTCGAATCATTCCGTCCACGAGCAGTCCGAATGAGATTCTATAATTTTAATTTATAATTAAAAAAAGGTTTAATATGCCGCATTATCTAAAAAAATAATAAATACTGTATTAATCATGCTCCTGTATTGCTCTGTGAGATTCTTCTAATAAAAGTTGCGAC